AGAGTTAATAGGGACCCTCAGAATATGAGGTTTTTTAGTCAAATTGAGATCCCAAAACCTAAAATTTCCTTTAAATTCTCAACATTCGCGAACTTTCAAATATGACATAAAGAAGAGGAAAAAGGAAAGGAAGGAAAATGTGTTGAGGGCCTACCAAGTGCCCAGCCCTGTACTGATACAGGCAATTTTTTTTTTCTCTCATTTATGCCTTATCTAATGCCTGTCACCCAGGGTAAAAAAAAGAGCGTAGAAGGAGTTAAAATCACACCTTCCCTTTTAAAATTTGCCCATACTCGGAATTGAAAATGCTTAAAATTAAATTCTTCAGGGTAAGCTTCTTTTTTAAAAAAAGAAAAATCTTGCTACGTGCATAGCAATTACCTGTTGAGTATAAGCACATAGAGTATCTTGATAAAGTGTATGTTGACTTTGTTACACAAAGTTCAGGTTTTTAAACTGAGATTTTTATCCTTTAATCTCAAAGATTCTCTTGCAGTAACCTCTGAAAGGGTGTAATTGAAAAGATTCTCTTTCCTAGTTAATTCATTTATTTACTCATTCATATAAAATATTTTAATTGCATAAATTTAGTCACAGGCTCGTCCCAATGACTTAAAAAAAAAAAACAACCTAAGAATTTTACCCTCTACTGATGGAGACATATTTAAATCCAACATTAAAAGACATGGCATCAAGCCTAGCTGTCTACTCAGCTCAGCTACCCATCAAGCCCAGCTGCTTCTGAGGCTGAGGCAGGAGGATCACAAGTGGGAGGCCAGTCTGGGCAACCTAGACCCTGCCTCAAAATTTTAACAAGCATGGGGGATCTATAGCTCAGTGGTAGAGTGCTTAACTAGCGCGTGCAATATCCTGGGGTTGAACCCCAGAACTGCAAAAACATACAAAAAAAAAAAAATCCCACAAGCAGACAAACACTTAAGTAGAACTTGGAGGAAGAAGCAATGAGTTGAAATTGACCAGTTTTCTGAATTTCAAAGAATGCAAAGGATTTGAGATAAAGTGGGGGGAAAGTGTTCTTGGTAAAAGAAATAGGAAAAATAAAGACCCAGAAACAGAGTGTAAAATGTGAGAATGGATAAAACTTGTTGCCCAGCAGGACAGAGGGGGAAAAACAATGGAAAGAGTTGGGGGACTTTGAAGTTTGTCACTTGGACAACTGGGTGGACTGAGTACTGGAAGCAGGAGGAGGACAGGTTGGGAATGGAGAAATAATGAGACTTTATCTGAACTACTTGCAGGGAGAGAGGGCCAGCCTTAGCTCATGTGAAAGGTTAAGATTGAAAATATGCTTTTGGGGATTGTGGTATTTACTGATGGCTGAAGTCCAAAAGACAGATAAGAATGCGCTGCTCTGAAGAATAGTTAATGGGTAGACAGAGGAGGAGTCGATTGTGAAGGCTTCCAAGAACAAAGAGCCAGAGAAAGAGGAAAATCAAGAAAGAGAGATGACCTGGAAGCCAAGAGAGAGTTTTAACCATTCAACATTTGTAGTTACTAAGACCTACTGTGTGCCAGGCTATTAGCTGGGATCTAGATACAAATGAATAAGAATAAGACATACAGGGGCTTACAAATGAATGGAAGAAAACAGAAAAGCAACAGATCAATGAGAGACAGAAAGAGAGACAGAGATACACACAGAGAGGTAAAGACTCATTCCCTGTCCTAGGGATCTCAGTCTTGGAGGACACAGATAAGTAGGCAATTGTAGTACAATGTAACAGTGAATACTCTCTCTGTATAATGTACATAAAGACTGCAAAGGGAGAGTATTCTACCATCTCAGGGAAGCTTCTGAGGGTAAGTGACTTTTTGATGAGAGTGGGGATGGGGAGCAGTTTCCAGCCTACTCGGAGTGTGCAGAGACTCAGAGGAAGAGAACACGTTGCAGAGGGAACTGAAATTACTTCTGTCTGGCTGCAGTTTACAGTGGGGGTGTGGTGACGGGTATACTTGGGAGCCATTGACGTTTTAAGGCAGAAGAAGGGCATCTTAGAAAGACCTCCAGCTGTAGTAAAACTGGAAGATGGGAGATGGTCTGTTATTCTATTTTGGGCTTATAGTCGAAAATTTTTGCTTATTAAACACCTACTATGAGTCAGGGTCAAAACAGACATCATACTCAAAGTGTTTAGATGAGGGAAGTTTAATGAAAGGATCCTACAGAGTTGGGGGCAGGATCAAGAACTCACAGTTTGGTGGGGAGTTGAAAGGAGGCAGAGATAAATATCCTGATCTGTGTCAACTCCTGTTTTCTCCTCTCCTGCTGGAGTCTCTCATGATCCCACCCAACCAAAACCAGAGGGCAAAGGAGCCTGGAATATGCAGTTCATACAGGACAGCCTTAGGAGGCACAGATGGTAAGGAAAGTTAGTGGTAAAATGATAGGAAGTACCAGCACACATCCGATTCAGCCAGCGTTTACTGTAGGAATCCACAACCACTCTAGATATTTCAAAACCCAAAGGAATTTCATCCAGCATTTCAGTGCTTCTGAGATCCCTACAAGGGATGGAGAGTAGAAATCCCCAGAATAGTGAGTCCAAAGTCATATCAGTTATGATGAACATTACTAGTCTGGTCCTACTTTACTTCCTTTTAAATTTTTTAAATTTTTTTTAAAAAATTATACATGACAGTAGAGTGCATGGAGTATAACTTCCCATTCTTGTGGTTGTATATAATGTGGTATTACACTGGTCGTGTATTCATATATGAACATAGGAAAGTTATGTCCGATTCATTCTATTGTCTTTCCTATTCTCATTGCCCCTCTCTTCCCTTCATTCCCCTTTGTCTAATCCAATGAACTTCTATTGTTCCCTTCACCCACCTCCTTATTGTGTGTTAGCATATGCATATCAGAACATTTGGCCTTTGATTTTTTGGGGATTGACTTGTTTCACTTAGCATGATTGTCTACAGTTCCATCCATTTGATGGCAAATGCCATAATTTCATTCTTCTTTATGGCTGAGTAATATTTCATTATGTATGTATACCACATTTTCTTTATCCATTCATCTGTTGAAAGGCACGTAGGTTGGTTCCATAGTTGAGGTATTGTGAATTGAGCTGTTATAAACATTGATGTGGCTGCATCACTATAGTACGCTGATTTTTAGTCCCTTGGGAATGTGCCGAGGGATGGGGTAACTGGGTCAAAAGGTGGTTTCATTCCAAGTTTTCTGAGGAATCTCCTTACTGCTTTTCTTAATACTTGCACCAATTTGCAGTCCCATCAGCAATATATGAGTGTACCTTTTCCCTCACATCTTCACCAACATTTATTGTTATTTGTATTCTTGATAATTGACTTTCTGATTGGAGTGAGAGGAAATCTCAAGGTAGTTTTAATTTGCACTTCTCTAATTGCTAGAGATGTTGAACATTTTTTTCATGTATTTATTAACTGATTGTATTTCTTCTGTGATGTGCACATTCAGTTCCTTTGCCCATTTATTGATTGGGTTATTTATTTATAATTTTTTTTTTTGGTACCGGGATTGAATCAGGGGCACTTGACCACTGAACCACATCCCCACCCCTATTTTGTATTTTACTTAGAGACAGGGTCTCACTGAGTTGCTAAGTGCCTCACAGTTGCTGAGGCTGGATTTGAACTCACAATTCTCTTGTCTCAGTCTCCCAATCCACTGGGATTATAGGTGTGCAGCACCACTCCCAGATGGTGTTAAGTTTTTTGAGTTCTTTATATATCCTGGAAATTGATGCTCTGAGGTGCAGGTGGCAAAGACTTTTCCCCCCATTCTGTAGGCTCTCGCTTCACATTCTTGCTTCCTTTTGTGTGACTCCTTTACTTCCAAATATGGAAGCTTACTATTTCTAGGCCCACAGGTATATAGGACCATGTGACTAATTCTAGCCAATAATATCTGAGAGGAAATAATGTGTTCCAGGATGACACCGTCACAAGCTTGTGAGCACTCTCTAGACTGTCTCTTCCCTGCCACAAAAGTCATGGAAGAGACTCTGGGGTAACATACAGTAGCTACAAAGTTGAAGCATCCTAGATTCTAAGAACATGGAGAGCAACTGTCCACCTCTGCAGTAAACAATTTGGTGTGAGAAAGAAACTTTTACTGCATTAGGCCACTGAGATTTTGGGAATCATTTGTTACTTTTTAAAAAAATATTTTATTTTATATTTTTAGTTGAACACACTACCTTTATTTTATTTATTTATTTTTATGTGGTGCTGAGGATTGAACTTAGGGCCTCACACATGTTAGACGAGCGCTTTGCCACTGAGCCACAACCCCAGCCCTACCCCTACCCCAATTATTTGTTACTAATAATCCTGGCTTATTCTGACTGGAATATACTTAAGATTAGACACTGTTATTGCTGATGTCAGCACTGGCTCTCACACCATGAAGACCATAAGGGGAGTGTGACTGTCATATACATGTCATCACACCTCGCTTACAAGTGACCTGTAAATGCAGGAAGGTAACCTTCATTTACTTGTACATTTTTTTTTTCTAAGTATATCTCTTTGGCAGACCTTATTTGTACCTAGAACTCAAGTGGGAAGGGATTCTGAGAAATGTCATTTTTAGCTTTTCAACTTCTTCAAATAGGAGGGTGGAGTGGAAGTTGGAAGGGGTACCAGTAATACACCCATAATGCAAGTTCTTCAAAGGCAGGGATGATTTGCTAAGCATCTTTGTATGTTTTCTGTCCAGTCTGGGACCTGACATTAGTGAGTGTCAAAAAATATTTCTTGAAATGATCTGAAATTTATGGACCAATCCTATATCTCTCAGGTGAAATAACAGAGATGTAAAATAAGTGCTAAAACTACTCGCTGCTAAAGATTTGAGAGTTCTGAAAGTACTCTGGACGATGAGAAGGAAATAGCAGAAGTCACCAATACAAAGGGGTGGAGGTGGACAGAAGAGAAAATAGCCCATACAGAGCAATTAGAGAATACCATTGTAAGTTAAGTTAGATTCACTGCAAATGAAACTCAAAACTGCAGTGGCTTAAATATGACAGGAGCTCATTGTTTCCTTAAAGACAGCGGGTAAACAGCCTGGAGCTCAGCCATGGGAGCTCCTTGACCCTCAGGAACTCATGCACTGTTACGCCATCATCTTTAATGTGTGGTTTGGACCAGATGGTTGAAGATAACATCTTCTGCTCCAACCACCATTTCTCAATTTCAGTCAGTGAGAAGATGGTAGGAAGAAAAAGCATGCTCTCTCCTTTCAAAAACACTTCCTAGAAGATGCACACTCCTCTTTTATTTAAATCTCATTTAAATGAATGTGCAATGTGAACAGAAGTGATGGTATCTTCACTTGAGGCCTGGTCCATAGAGACTGCCCTTACGTGATGCTCTTCATTTCTGGCATCTTTTGGTCAGATTTTGACATCAAGGGAAACTTTGGATATCACATATTGAGATGATAGAGCCTCTATTAGCCTGGATCCCTAGGTGATTATGAAGCAAAGAGTTACCCCCCTCACCACCCCCTTGGCCAGGAATGCTTACACTGAACTGTTAAGCGAGCAAGAAACAAAAATTTACTGTGACCCTTGGAGATATAGTTGCCACAACAACTAGCATTACAGAAGCAGGGTGCTATTTAAAAAATCTCAACTTAGTCAGGCAGTAGACAACAAGAAAACTTACCAGAGGCTGGAAAATGGAAATCCATGACAAAATGCTCTCTTTTCTCCTACTAAAAACATAATACCACAATTTGGATAAGTTACAAAGAAAAGTGGTTTATTTTGGCTTATAGTTCTGCTTCAAGGTCAAAGGGCTGCATCTGGTGATGACCTTCTTGATGGCAGAGTCCCAAAGTGATGGAGACAGGGACCCTGAGAACTGCCTTTTGTAGCAAATCCACTCTCAACCCATTATCCTGTTAATGCGTTAATCTATCAATCACACAAGTGAGATAATCCACTCATGGGGAAGAGCTCTAATCACTTCCTAAAGGCCCTCCCTCTTACTATCCCATATGGATTCAGTTTCAGTACAAATTTTGGATGTTGAAGCCATAGCACAAGACATTTGGTAAGAATTGCCTGCAGGAACGTGGAAAGAAAATAAGATGCCTCCAAATCCCATAGCTCTAGAAGCGGTTGGGAAGTGAAATGCTGGTAGGCTGTATTCACTGACTGTATTTAACAAGATATTGAAAAAAATAAGATGAGCTCCTAGAACAATTAACACGTTCCAAACGTGAATGAAAAAGGAATATAGAGAGTTCAGAACTTTGGAGCCTTGAGAGCTTGGAAAAACTGACTGTTCTAATACTTCAAAGAATAGGAAATAAATCTGAAAAAGCGTTTGAAAAACAAAGGCCCATAAAAAGTCAGTCATGCAGCAAAAATTAGATTTAGGGCGTGGCCTCACACTGGAGGTCTCAAGTAGCCCCCTCAAATCGAGAGGAAGAGAGGCATAGGAGTGAAGAAGCAAAGAAATAGGATCAAGAATTATCTCTAGGAAACTTTCATGTTTACTGGCTGATGGAACTGACTGGGAAGCAAATGGATCAGAAGTCTTTTCAGCGTTTGAGAAATTGTACTGCTAAGAAAATCACTTAAGAGCTTATTTTAAAAGCTGTACTCTCCCTAGAGACATCATGCTTCTCAATACCCATTTCAAATGCAGGCTTAGAGGAAGAACTTCCAGAACGCAGAGCCAGTGACCCGAGAGGACCAAGGACGAGAGCGGTACCAGGGTCTAATGGAGGAACTTCCCGTTCAGGTCCATCACAGTGCCTCCCAGCAGAATCTCATCTTTGCATAGGCCAGTGTCTTCCTTTTCCTGCTTTTCTACCTGGACATGTTGACTGCAGTAATTTGCTGCATTGTTACATATTGGGTACAGGATGGAAAAGATATTAGTTCATGGGTTGCAGTAGAGTTTCTCACTCTCAGCACTACTGATATGTTGGACTGGACAGTTCTTTTTTGTGGGGCTG